TCTTTCTATACAATTTGAGACTATACCCAGCATCAACATGGAAAGTATTAGTCATTTTAACAATGGTATTTAATATATTAGGTACCATTTGGACTGTGTAAATTCTAAAAGACTAAACATGTCGGAAACAATTATTGTACCCCAGCTTCTGGGTCAGTGATTGCTATCACAATCAGGTTCTTTTATGTCCAGTTTCCCTCATTCTATGAGTGTTTGGCTTTTGGACTTTAATGTATCTTCATTATCTGTGCACATTTTTCAGAGTTAAGTGGGGAATATAGCTATTCCAATTATTGTTCTCCATGATTTAGACATAAATAAATATTCTGAACTCAATTCCTGCTACAAACGCACGTTTTCACTTGAATTCATAGTTCAGCTAGTCTGAAGTGTGGAGTAACACTCCTCGAATTTAAGGAAACTTTCACAGACAACACTTATCCCGTTACTATGACACACACCATTTAAAACTGGTTTTGACATTAAACAAATGATGCAATTTGTTTTTTAGTCCTTCAGGGGGAACTGCGAGTAGCGATGTCATATACAACTGTTATACACCAATTTCTTTTAATAGGACTTTCCCTTCCAGCTAAGGTCCTATACCTCCTTGCAAGGCATGACGGAGAGGGCGGAGTGGTAGATTTTTTAACTCCTCTTTTTTCTGATCAGCAAGGTCCGTTGTAATTATATAGTACTACCGTACAAGCCGATCTGTAAATTTACTGCATTTCTTTTAGTATAAGCTAATTTTAGCCACTACGCTAATGGCTTACTTTCTTCACGTAGCTGGTGGCGTCCTCCTCCGTGACGGGCTCGGCCGAGATGCCGCCGCGGCGCCGAGCCGGCTGCTGCGCCGCCGAGGGCAGCGGGGAGAGGTCCTCGGTGTCCTCGGGGGAGGCGGCCTGCTGCTTGGCATCGTGGGCCTGCTCCTGCCACACACACGCACAACACGCGTCAGCCTCTGCCTTCACCATGGAAGCAAAATGAAGTAAAAACACACTCGTGTAATTGCCTTTGCATTTTATATTACTTAATTTATAATTTTCATCACATTCATCCCACGGCAAACTACGACAAACGATGCACACGTAGGCTTCCGCGGCTCGAGTCCATTACGAGTCCCGGACAGCCTAGAAGTAATAGTTACGACAAACGATAACAAAACAAACTTTTATACGCATTGTGTGGATGCTATCTCCACACCAAATGCGGAAGATGAACGTTTTATGGCTGCCCCACAGGAAACGTCCTTAACGCAGTAAACGGAATAGCAACGCATTAGTCGTATCATTCACACACGCGACTGCTTCAGACTCACTTTCTGCATGGACTCAAGAATGTTACTTTCGTGTTGGGACTTGTAATGGATGTATGGGTGTTTGCCCAAAGATTATTCAGTTCTCTTCTGTCGACTGCTCACGACTGAAACCGAGTATATTCCAATTTCTGCACGTACGACTTACTATTAGGCATTAACAAAGCAATCTTTAAAGAACCGATATCAATTAAAAAGCCGCTTGAAGCCAAAGTGGTTTAACGCACATTTTCTTGTTCCGAGATATACAATTTTTCACTAGAGTTGTTATAGAAAATCGCTTTGTGCATTAGTTTAAATTTTCTTTACAACCGTGTGTTTAGAAAGTTTGTTTTAACTCATACTGACAACACTGATTAATTTTGTGCAGTTAAGACTTTGCATAAGGTCCTAAATACAGTCATACAACACTTTTGATACAAGGTAAATAAAATATTTAATACAAGAAAATATGAAATGCAGTTAATACTTCATGCGTTTTACAAAGCTCCTAAATTAAAGAATGTTTACAATCGTTATGTTTTAGGCAATATGACCGAAAGCACGGACTTTAAGATTGTGAACATTTTAAATCCACGTTTAAAATATATTATCAGAAAAAACCTAAAACATATCCAATCTCAAACAAATTGAAAGTAAAATCCTTGCAACTCCTAACTACACCACAGCTTGCCCATGGACGCATGGGCCCGCTGACAGCATCCTCGTTCGATCTCTGTCCCCCAAGCTTAACACGAAATAATTCTTTTTGGATTCCGGAATTTCTCAACTCGCACACTCAGCGGCTGGAAATTGGGTCCAGTAATAAGTTTTTCATCGAAATCCGACTTCAGGTGCGAAGTGCCACTGGGAACTTTCTTAGATCCGTTGCTTTTCATTGCATAAATTAATGATATTTGACAAGAGATGGAATAAAAAATTCTTTTTGTCGTTGACTGTATATATTATATCGGGAAATTAAGAACGCAAGTGACAGAAATATTTGAGACTGCTTCAGAGAGGCTGGAATCATAGGTTACCACAAATGAAACTCCAGTAAGCGCAAGCCCTAGAAAAACCGGCACAAAATACATGTCGGGAATTCAGGATATTAAGCGGGCTCAATGCTGTAAATATTAAGAAATTGAAGTAATTGAGGATCTGGGATGAGCAGAATATGTTAAATTACATAGGGAAAACGGAGTGGAAGGCATTTTGTGATTAAGGCACTACAGAAAAGAAGCGGGGAAATATCGAGGGAATTAGAATTCTACGAGTACAATTTCTGGTAGAGTCGATTCTGGAATATGTCGTCGTTTGGACCTGTGTCGTTTAGAGCAAATAAACACTCGGAAAAAGTTGAAAACTTCGCAGAAACGTTTGTTAACAGAGAACGCCATAATTCCGAATTTCCAGTTCTTTGCATACATTTAAGGAAGCAAAGAAAGCAATATTATCCTGTCACGACCCGATACATCTGTAAAAATGTGAAATGATTCATTTCCACATGATAAAGCTACATTTCAATAAAAACCACAGCTCTCCATCGTTTTTGTTAAGATTTTATTTCACATTTTTAATTTCTAAGAATCGTTTAACAACAGCGCTGATTGTAAAAATTGCAACACTCAGAAGGCATGGTCGGAATCACTTAAATATCGGCAGATGTGTAGGACACTGGGTCCATAAGAGGTGATTAAATTTGCTTCGAGATGGCGAGCACGTTGACCTAACAGCGCCCTCATTTTATGACAGATCAGTGTTACGCCACACTCCGTGGGTGAAGAGCCGTCAAACGACGTGGAGAGGTGCAATCAAGCGCTGGAATGCCTCGTCGACGCCAAAGGCCGCAAAATCAGTATCTGAGTCAGTTTGAACGGGGAGAATGATCGGTCTCTGGGAATTGGGTTTGTCGTACCGTAACATTGCGGCACGAATGGGGCGCGCTGCTACGACAGAGATGCGTGCGTGGAACCAGTGATTAGAGGAGGGTCACACACAGTCACAAGCGGGCCCTGGACCACACTATGTGACCGCATCGCGAGATGACCATCGTCTTGCCCGCATGGCCGTGTCAGACAGAATGGCGTCGTCCACAGGGTTTGCTCGGCTTTGAAGCACTGCAAAGGGCGTGGTCATGCGGCACGCATACCACTGCGTCGGATTCCGCTGACCAGAAACCAACAACGCCTCATACGCAATGGGCACTGGTGTTCGTGGTTCATACGTGTTCACTAGTGTGCTGAGTGACAAATGAAGGGTTTTTGGACGAGTCCCGCTTCAATGTGGAATACCGACAGCCGCGTACGTGTCCAACGTTACCAGTGTGATCGCAATTGGCCAGCCCCTTTATTCCGCGCCATCCCGGACATACGGAACGTGTGATGGGTTGGGGCGCCATTGGCTACAATTTGCGATCTCGCCTCATACGTAATGAGGGCAATCTGAACAGCAACCGCTACTATAGGAAGGTTTTAGTGCCAGAGGTACTGTCTCTCCTGCCAGCAGCTCCACGTACCATATTTCAGAAGGACAATGCCCAACCGCATGTGGAGTGAAATGTGCAAGCTTTCTGCGAAGAACGGCGGGTACCATTGCTTCCGTGACCCGCACGTTCGCCTGACATGTCGCCCATCGAACGTGTCTGGGATATAATTGGTCGGCAACTTGTTCGTTCTGGCCTTCCTGCAGCCAATGTCGAAGCTTCGTGGTCACATATATAAACAGCGTGGCACGTGTTCCCTAGCAGCACACCTTGGCTCTCGGAGTCCATGCCACGACGTCTACAGGCTCTAATGGCAGCGCGTGGCGGCTCCACACCGTACTAAATACTCAAAGTCAAATTGCAGGTACCGTTCTATAATTCTAATTATTTGTGATATTCCTAATCTGTGGAATACATTTCATTGTAAAAGTGTCTCCTCGGTGTTGCACATTTCACAAAAACCAGTAATTTTATAATTTTATTGTTCTCGAAAATTAAAGTGATAGGACCAAAATATAATGACACATGATGAACTCAAAATTGTAAGGATTCTGATATTGAAAAGCAAAAACGTTCTTTTAAGTGGATTAACGAGTTTATTGAATTTTGAAATCTAGGCAATTTGTAAAATTGTCACAAAAAGTCGCGAAATTGAAGAGTGCAAAATTGAATTGAATTAAAATTAAAAAGTGGAAATTCCGGAAAAAGTGCTCAACGAAATCATTCAAGAGATTATAACTTTGAAAATTAAGGAGCAATAGTTAAAATACCGTTCCAAATCGAAAACTGTGAAAGTAAGCCGGCCTGTAATCAGTCTGGCAGTAGAAGGCGCTGCAAAACCACACCGAGGGAATCAATAGCCATTAAAATTTATCTCTGGAACTACAATAAAGGCATTATGCATCGTTTGTAGATTTATAGACTTCACATACAATAACTTATGTTTTCAGAGACATTCGGTTGACAAAAAAGACGAAGAAAAAATATCGTTTACATTCATGATTCTGAGTATACTGAAATTACTTCAGATGAACTCCAACATGGCGAGATAGGAACTGAAGTAGTAGGTAGTTCCAAAATTGAACTAATACGAAGAACACACCACGACAATACAAAACCGCAATCGATCACGTTACCTCCTCTATATGGCGAACAAGTGCAGCGGGAGGACGGCAAGTAGGTTTATGAAGACACTTCCACAGCCGTCAGACGCGAAGGAGCGCGTGCTAGAAAGTTTTCTCCGAAGCGAGCGCCGCGCAGAAGGGAATGAATGGGGATCGTGCGAGGCGGCGCACGGGAACTCGCAAGAGCGCTGCGAACCCTTTCCTTAGGCGGCGCTTTGCATCCATTCAGACGAAGCAACTCGATAAGAAATAGGAATCAAATCTTCCCGGATAAATACGCCAATACAATGGTTTCTTAGCGTTCATCCAAACATCCTTCGCAACGTTTAGTGTATTTTCTACGAATTATACGTAGTGTAACACGCACGCGCTCGCTCACACACACACACACACACACACACACACACACACGCATTGTGTGCGCGCGCGTTTATAAATAGTGGCATCTTTCTTTAAGAACTTTATTTGTATGAACTGAAAGCTTGCCAAATTAACTCCAATTTGAAAAGATCATGAAAATGGACAGGTACGTATTTGCAATTTCCGATACACCAGTTGAGTCCCAGGAAAGAGCAGCTAACAAAAAGGAAACTAGTGGTGCTAAAACACATTCTTTCTAGCTTTTAATAGAAACTTTTATAATTTTCGAAAATTTAGATAAATTTCTGTGCCATTTTTAAGTTTCTTTGCTCAGGCAGAGGAAAAAATTAAAGCAGTTTTTGAGAAAAAAAAAAACAAACTATAAATTGCTTTTACCCCAAGCAAAAATTACGCGAAAACTACTTGTACTTTGAATATGACCTTATTTAAAACCTTTTTTAAACGTATTTCATTAAAGAAAAATAACATGTCATCAACGCCGTACTTTTGTGAAGTTAATTGTTTGCATGTTCCGAAAATATAGTGTTCACCGAAAATGGGACCTTCGGCATCTTTTTATAAGCGTACTCTGCTGAATTGGATGGGGAAAATACAAAACACCTGTGAAGCCGTTTTTGAGAAAATAATTACTTCATATGAAATGGG